TTATTTGCAAAAAAGGGTTATTTATATATTTAAGACCATCTTAAAAATAATGTTTGTTTTGCCCTCTCCCGATTCATAGTAGAAAAATTAAGTCAGTAGATAGGTGAGAATATTTTTCTTCAGAAAATATTAACATACTTCTTAATATAATAAAGGAGGAAAAGTGAAGAAAAAACGTTTCTTGAAGACGTGTTTTTTACCAGTTGGTCGGGAAGGGCAAACAAACAGTTTTAGAAGATGGCATAAGTGTGTACAAAAATTGAATGAAAGTTTCACTGACTGGGTCGTATTCAATATACCTTCAGAAAAAAAAAATTGAATGTCAAGAAAACTATATCATCCCTCAATTTGCACAATATCATTAGATAAATCATGATTGTTAAAACCATTCTACATCACACCACAAACAGAACAATTTCTTAAACTTAATAGATACTATCAGATTAGAAATGCCAACATTTTGTATACTCACAGCACCAAAAGCTGTTTCATCCCGGTCATCCGTGCAAATACCCCCACTTAGAGGTGAACCGTCTTCATAAAATATTTACAGTCAATAAAATATAAACTGTTCTTGATGTGTAAGTGAAAAATGGCTTCATATAATGCATGCAAGTATGCCACTTTTTTCTACTTAGAAGGATCTAAAAGACTAGTAAGATGAAAATCAATAGGTACTCTGTCTTTGCAATCATTCCTTTAGGAGTTCCCGACATGAAAAAGACCGGAGAGTGCTCAACAAAAGTCATGACTCATGACTGAAATTTCAGTAACCGGAATCTCTAACGTGATTTTAGCCCACTTATTAAGACTTAAAGTAGGCGAATATATTTTTTTAATTCCCTTTCTGAATTTTGAAATGACAACGGCAATTGTAAGAACTCTTTTTAAAAAGCCCATTGAAGAAAGCATTAAAAATAACTTCAGTCATTATATAGGGATTGCTTTTTAATCAGACTTTTTTTTTTTAATAAAATGGCGAAAATAATGTATTTTGCATACTTGTTGCACTTATACTCAAAAGAGACAGAAAAAGCAAGGAAGCAATTATAAGATAAAAAAATGATGAATATTTTTATGCCCCTAGCAATGGTTTTAAAAAACTGGGGACAACATAACAAAAAAAAAAAAAAAAAAAAAAAAAACAACAACTAACAAGCAAATATCGGGTAAAATGTCCTACTCAGTTAGTTATAATTTGTGGGAGATATTGAGCGTTTCTGTTACTTCCTGATACATATTTTTTAAAGCTTTGAATTAAAGCAGTTATTGACATTACAGCAGCAAAAAGGGAATATAGGTCTTCTTGTTCATCATTTATTGTTATCAAAGGAACAAAACTGATGTTATCTTGATGACTTATTTCACTGAGCATAGTTGAACCATCAAAATTTGAAAAAAAAAGCTTAAAAAATAGATTTTTTAAATCATAAGATATGAAATAAAAAATCGACAAATAAGATATAATTAACGTTTGTAAAGAACTTTGAAAGCCTAGGAATATGCTTTATTAGTTAAATCTATAGCTATATATATATATACATTCACTGTTTATTAGAAATAAATTCAGATTAATTGTTCATTAAGTATACATGTACATTCAGGTCAATTTGAAAAGACGTGGATATTACTGGTTTAGATAAGTTTTTTTGAAATCAGAACCAGAGCTATGGGAAACAGATCATAAAATATTAAAAAAAAATTTGTATGTATAACAACTCCGGTCCATTATATATATTTCTTTTACAAACTATAATCATGTCTACAAATCTTGATAATGTCTACTTGTTACCAAGCAGAGATGGGAGGGGAAGCATGTGTAAAATAATTAATAGGTAGCTGTTTTTGTTTTATTTCATTGCGTATATATCAACATTAAAATCGATACATTACTATTTTTTGAATGATGAATATTTTTTGTAGCCAACTTTTGTACCTATTTAAAAAGACGAGTGAAAAAACATATGTTATTTTTAATTGTAGATACAAATGTTTTGCTAAGGGACTTGCACAGGCAATGTCTGATGTTCAATCCATTTATATAATTGACAATAAGCTGATTTAAAAAAAAGGAACACATGCATCTTTTCAATTTACAGTGTAAGTGTATAAGGCCTTAAAAAATAACCCGAACATACGGTATCATGGGACAGAGTAGTTGTTTTAATAAATTAATTCATAACTTGTTAATTACTTTTCGTCTAAATATGAAAAGAGAAATTGGATTGGTGGAAATTGGATCGGGATCTATCGAGTTTCATTTCATTGAAAAATTAAATTAAAAATTTTAGACGTTTATTGTACCAAAAAAAAAAAATGAATGGATATGCTGGCGAATTAAATAATGGGTTTGAGGTACCACAGAGACTAGAACATTTGTTTCATATTTGGATATGTTACTAGAAAAATGTAAATGGTAAACTAACAATAGCAATTTATGTTAAACGAGCTGACTTCAGCTTTTCTATTGTCAGCATCCCTACTCTTTGTACCAACATACCCTGAAGGTTATCTTCTAAATTTGGGGATTGTGCCAACCAGTTGATTCCAAACAAAAAGACTTTCTCTATGTATATATAGAAACGATTTCTAAATCGCAGGAAGATATTGACAAAGATCAGCATTCATTTAGGAAATTCTTTGGTTGGAACAATGGCTTTGTCAGCAAATACAACCTAACACTGAATTCTGATTGTCTTTAACATACCAAATGTAAAATCATAATTTACACACCGAATTTTCTACAGATTTTCCGTTTGACCGACAATGACAAGGAGCATACGGTGTGTGTGACCGACCGACAAGGAATGTTTACGCTTTTATGGTACCTGATCCCAGATTCGATATTGCTAGAGGTTATCTGCTTGCTCTGATTGCGATCTGTATAGTTAAAATGGACCTTTGAGTTAGGTTAATGTTCACTACCTCCATATTTCATTCATCGTTTATAATTCAATTTTCTTTTCTTAATGACTACAAAATGTATAAAATTCCAAATTTACGGCAAGCGGATCGATACGCTTTTTTGACAAAAATCCTTGTTTCGAAGGCAACAAAGGTTGTACGGTATAAAGTAATAAAATGTACCTTTATAGCAGAAATAAATTTATCTGAACTTTTTCTAATTTTAATTAAATATTTTTCTCTGCGTTTATGTTAACTCAAATTAAAAATATAACATTTTATTAATTAGGAACACGATTTTAAAAAATCCCCTGTAGTAATAGTTTGCTTCAATTAAACAAAGGGACCTAAATATCAAAATGATTTCTTAACACCACTGTGGCGTGAAAGAAATCTTCAGAGGCGTTAACAAAGCAGGAATGACATTCTAGAGACCACTCAGATAGAAAAGTAACACTCGATGTCGAAAAATAACATAGTTTACACCACAGAGTCTGAAAATTATAATGTAACTGTATGATATTTCGCAAAAGGTAGGGTCATCATACCAAAAATACATTTACTATTTGTGCATTGGTTTAAAACTTGATAAACATTCATGTTGAATTTTTATAAATTACATCTCACGAGGATTAACGGATCATCTGGAACTATCATCAGTTATATTTTCAATTTTCCATACTAAATTATTTATGTAAACATTCTCTAGGGAAATTAATGCTATAATTCGCTACTCATTGCGACGACGCAGGAAAAAAAAATCTCTTGGTGATAAATCGTAATAAGCTCGATAGAAAAAATACTTTACATGTCCTCCCATTAATCTTCTATGAACAGGTTTCTTGGTAACTTATCAATTATAACAGTATACTTTGTACTACGACGAAGGAGACGTTACAAATTACAGGACACAGCAGCTAGATAGTCTGGTGTGGTTCTGAAACCTTTAAATCAATCCAAAGATTCACGTAAAATGATACATGTGTTTGAAAATTTCAGACACATTAAGGCCCTTGCAACAGTTTTAGAGTGGTAATGGTGGTGGTGGGGTACCAAAAACAATCTGTTTGGCAAGAAAAGGTAAATTTTCCAAGCCAAGCTCGAAAGTATTTTAAAAAAGGATGATGGCTACGGGGTGCAACTTAACTTTTAAATTTGCTAACGTTCGACCTTACATGCAGAAACAGTTCGGTATTCCAAAAAACTAAAATATTGAATGAAAATGTACTAAACTGCGGCATGACTATATGTATTTAGAAAGAAATTTAAGTTGGAAACGTTCTATAGACTTGTATAACATATTGAAAAAACAATTTCTTTATTGTTATAAACAATCGATCAATCAAAATAAGTTAACAGCACTAATAAAATTTCATTTATTTTCATTGGAAAAAATAGGCTTAGATAAGAATCTGAACTTCAAGATATATAAATTTAAGACAAAATGGTTAATAATATCATATTAATAAATTAGTTAGCAACAATTTCGTATTCAAGGGATACATAACCTGTTGTTAAAGAAAAGCCTGACATAGCTTTACAAGAACGTTTTTTGAGTATTTACAATTAATATGATGACTGAAACGTCTCGAAGCCCAGCAGTCGATTTATCAATGTTATACATACCCAGCTGTTGATTAGTTTAATAAAATAGATCCATAACTGAGATAACTCCAGTATCGATTATTGAAATGCTTTTAAATACCTCTCCTTATTTATTGGCTGAATGATTCTTTAATGAAGTACATTTTTAATCATTAATGGATTATTCGTTTTGTATTCTGAACATATTGTGAGAAAAACGTACTCCCGTAATTGATTGCAACCTTTTACTCTATGCGTATAGTTAAAAGCTAATAACCTGCGTAGATATTGCAATATTTCTGCTTTTAATATCTTTTTTTCATCATCTGTACAACAGTACATTGAGCTGGTAGATTGATTAAAATAACATTTTTAACACTGGTGTAGAATCCTGACAGTGCTTCACAATCATAAGTATTATAATATTTTTTTGTGCTTCACAATCATAATTCTTATAATATTTCTTTTTTTAAATCATAAAAAGTATATATTATTGTAATAGCCGTACATACCTGTGTTAAGAAAGTTTCATCCCTGTTATGAACGATCATCAGAAAGCCTTCAATCACGGGCTGTAGATCTAGACATAAGCACACAGCTAAGATGAGGGTTAAATGTATACATGTTTATCATATATGTTTTCCGGTAGTATACAGTGCAGCATGCCTAGCTGCCAAACATCATTTTTACCATGTCCGAAAGTTCCTTCTCTAAGTCGACGATGTAGTTCTACGAGAAACAATGGCGTGTCCCATTAGAATTGTTCTTTCAGAGATGTTCCCTGCCAGCAACTTTCAAGATACACCCAGCAAACATTTATGAATAATTGATATGGTTATACACATTCACCCCTCCCTGCTTTCTATCTACCAAAGCCACCATTGTCAAGTGAGAAATCAATGTTTTGATACATAATTCATCTACTCTTCAATTTTTCTTTACTCTTCCTCCACTTGAAAAGAAGCTAGAACTTGAGATATTTTCCTTATGTTATGACGGCTATGAATTTTTAAAGCATTATCCTACCTGATATTGATCATAACAACTTGACAGTTAACACATGTACACAAATAGAGTGGGGATCCTTTAAGCCTCAGAGCTGTTGTTTTAAACCGGGGGGTACACATGTAATTATACTTGATCAATATAGAACAATATAGAACATCATAGGAGCTTTTTTTAATGGGATCTAATTTTTTTTTATCGATTGGTTTTGTACAATAGATGTTAAATATTTTTTTCTGATGTTCTCGGTTTAATTTTTTTTGCTTATGATTTTGTGTTTGATGAATGCGATAAATAGAAGAATACGTTTAATTAATTTCCGGGTCAGCTGAGAACTCTAAGGGCAACATTGAAATGATAGACTAGTCCGTCAATTTTATCATGCAGGCTCTATAGGATAACGTAAAAGTGATGAGGGTCCATTAGAACTATAGAATGGATAATTCATAATTAAGTTTTATCAGAAATAATGGTATTTCTTAATTGAATTGAAAAACTGAAAATATCAAAAGTTTTTCATAAATACTTGAATTTGCACTTGAATTTTTCTGATGAAGTTATCATGAAAATGGCAAATAAAAAGAGCTTAAAGCATGCAAACGTAAGCGTAACTTGATAATCTCAAAAGCAGTGGGAAGATTTTTTTTTGAAATTCATAAAAGCTTTTATAATATGAAAATAACTCATATAATTTCGATTTATAAAATGCACTTGTGTTATTTAGGGGTTGATATCAACAGCATGCTGATATTTTTTCGTTTCCCAATAACTTTTCATTAAATTCTTGCAGCCAGAGACATTGTTTAAGAGCCGTCGAAATCTTCTGTTGAGATGCATGTTTTTTCGTAACTAACTCGAAAACCAGTTTCACAGTGGGCTTCGAAAAAAAATGATATGCTATCTGCAGATTATCTGTTCTCAGAATATGTAATTTAACTCAAATAAACGACCGAGGTCTTCTTTGGTACTGCTAAGTTATATAGCCCTTAACAAAGGTTCAGGAATTATAAAAATAAACAAGCCATAAAACATTTCGCTTGTTCACATCTTGAACAATATACTCAATCTACCGGCGAATTCGTACGTACCTGTAGAATTGTAAAGAGGAAATGTTTAAGCATTTAGTGGTTTGTTTGTACATGTGATGTTTAGGTTTCGAAGCCAAGATAAACCCCTTTCTTGGTTCTTTCAAACAAACAGATTTCATAAAAAAAAATGACAGGCACAATTTATGCAAACAAGTTCGTGTATGAAATTATACATATTCTGAAAAAAAAAATTAATGATAGGAACATATAAAATTAATCATTTATATTAATATCTAAAAGTCATAAGAAAGTAGCCACCAAAAGTATACTTTCAACATTCATATTGTTGAATCATTTAATAACAAACTCTTGGTTGTCAAAATGATTATCTTTTTGTAGGGGGAAAATGTACATTAGCTCCCAACTGCTTTCGCTAAATGCAGATAATTCAAGATGAGGATGCACACACGCATACAAGCAAACAGACTTGTTGTTCCTTTCTTTGGTAAATTTGCGACTGATATACAGAATTCACAGCTTATCTTGCTTTACCATGTTTACAAGTCTTTTACTTTCTTAGTTTTGACCGCATCATGTGTTACCCATTTACTATATCGTGCAATATTCCAATGCAGCGTAAATTAGAAAAGTGAAAGCACTCCATTTTTAACAGATGGTATAATTGTTCGAAACAGTCTTCCAAGCAAGAGCCTTGCTTTCCTGAAAATCAGTTTGCATCTGATTTCAAATCAAGGGAACCATTTAGGGATCTTGTGTTACTCTATAATGGATTTTCCTTGATTTCTCTTAAGACATCAAATTATGGAGCCTTGTATTCTCTGAGGGTCGATTTCTCATCACCAAATATTTTCTTGCCATTTGTTTTGGAAACAAAGAAAACCAGAAAGTCATAATATAATACCCACAATGTAGAATTCATAATCTTAAAAAAGAAAGCTTTATTTCAATACTGCTGTCGACAATTTCATATCTCAACATTTTTAATTATCTCAGTTTCCGCACATGTCGTAAAATTCTATTGATTGTATAATGATATTTTTCACTTGTTAAATGCCATTCTTTTATTGTACATGTTATTGTCTGCTGTTATTTAGGAATATATTGCTACGACAATAAAAGAGCATATGCCTGGCAATTAAATCATGTGGACGATACACAAAAATTTCTTTTATTCTTTGTTTATATGAATTGGTTTACATTAAGAGGCAGTGGGCGAAAGGGTTGTATTCGATTCTTGATGCTTAAAGTGAGTAATGCGTACACACAGAAAATGAACTACAAATTAATGCTGTTGATTGTTAACTTGAGTGAATGTTATATACCATTTGTTCGGATTTAAAGCTGGTTTATCAATTTGTTTGAATTTTCTCTATTGTTTTATCTGCAGTTTTATGTTAATAATAATGAAATAAAATTCACATAGAAATAAACCTTTTAATGGTCGTCTGATAAAAATTTTAAAAAAAAATACAACATACGCTTAATATCAAGTATGTGACGACATATGATTTTTAGAAACAAGATATAACATGAATATTTTATATGAGAAAAAAAGCAATCCGGAAACTAACTTCCTACACACTAGTATTCAAAAAGTAAAACATTAAAACTCAGAAGTCTATTCAAACAATAGAAATCAGGAGCAAAGCAAACGGAGACCTCTAAAGCATCAATGGTGGGATCAGGAGCCATGGAGTGGTGATCATCCCCTGTCGACCATTCTCTGCTGCCGTGTGCTCCTTGTCATCAACTTGACTACATTTGTTTTAGAAACTGTTAGCACGTAAAGCATGCTTTTGCATATTGAATCAACTGAGAGATAGAAACCCCTTATGCAGGTGAAAAGGGGTTCAAGGGTATATTGCTACATAAGGGAAGTTTGACTGTTGAAAAAGAAAGAATTACTATTATTATACAGCTTTATTGATAGGTTACCGTATAGTAAAATACCTTCATATGTTAAATATGAGTCAAACTCTGTAAATCTTTTATTTCAAGCTTACAGGGATATACAACTATGTATTTTGTCAACATATAAACGCAAAAAAAACTGTAATTGTTTATTGATAAAACGTCGTTGGTATATTAAAAGTCGAGTTGAAGGTCACGACAAGTGTTTTCTTCTTATCATGTATCAGATTTTGAATAAAGTCTGATTCATATGAAAATTAGGTCTGCTAAAAACCAGATGTAATTGATATCATTGAGAATTTCGACATATTGTTCGAAGACCTGGTTTAATAAAACATAGACATTGACAGTCAGGATCTCAAGCATATCTTTATTATCAACTTTAGAGTACTTGTGTGTACAATCACTTTTCACAAAATAATTTTGCAAATGACTAATGACCTGATAAGTAAATTTAAGAGTTCCATTAAAAAAATAGCTCTCAGTGATGTCAAAAAGCCAGGACTTCAATTTATCGTAGGGAATGGTTATATAAAAATTGAAAAGTCCAAGTTGTTGATGTTACTGATTTTGGTAAATTTCATGATTTCACATTTTCCAAACGTTTCTTGAAATGTTTGTAGGAGTAAAGAGAGGCTTGGTAGAACATTTATCGGAACTTGTTATGGATCTTTGAAAGGAATTTTATGAAGTTTTGGAAACCATTATAGGTATCGTTATTCATTTTTTTTCTTTTAACTAAAAATTATTCTAAACTGATATTTGAAGAATATTCTCTTGAGAATACTGATCGTGTAATCCATTTTATTCTTTTTTTTCACTTCTGGATTATGGGACAGAGAAAAATAGATAGTTTTCGTATTCTCCTCAATCGCTTAATGAGAGATTTATACATACATCTTACACATTTAATCCATTCTAACGAAGTGTCTAGTCTTCTATTTTTTGCTGTCCATCACTTAATCTTCCACGGAATACATAATATTTATGAAATTATGAAGTCAGTTGAAAGATCAAGATTCCTTAATTTTATCAGAAAATGGGATATGAGGCCTCCATTATTAACTATATTTACGTCCAGTAATAACGTGTCCAGCAGGATGAGTTGGCGTGTAGTTTTTCCTAGAATGTTCTTGAGTAGAAGATTTGCAATGCTGCTTTGTATGAAAGAGTTGCCTTTTTGCTATTTTATAAGACCTTTTATAACTCTAGAACGGGAATCACGACAAAAAAGAAACTCAGAGCGTAATAGAATCTAGTACAAAGTGCAACCTTTCATTGCAAGCGGATCAGTTTTTCGTGCAAACCAATTCGCTCAGATCATTCAAACCATGTAGCATTTTGATGAACTGTGCAGCATTATCCTCAGAGCATGCAATCATATCTGATTGTTTTAATAGAGAAAGACAAGTGAGTAGTAAGTTAATGAAAAATTTAATGGTTGTCAACTTTCTTTTTTTATGTAGCAATCAAGCATTATCACCAGTATATGAGGTATAAGTCCGTCATTCTATACCTTAAGGACATACGCAACGTACCTTACCTACTGATAAATTTTCCAGATACTCCTAAATTAAGATTATAGTGTCCTAAAATGTTCATAGACAAAAAAATCAGCATGCGTAACCAGGGGTTTTAGAAAGATATCTATTTATGGAAATTCGCAGATGATTAAAAAAAATGTATAAGAAATACTAAACATATATTCCAGGTGTTTCTTTTATCAAATATTGTTTTAAAAATAAGTGTACAACACCATTCATAGACATTAAAATATAGCACATAGTTCCTTCAAGAGTTGGAACTCTTCAACTCTATGGAAAAAAGACCAAAACATTCAAACTACGTTGTGTATGTCTTTAAAGCATAATTATGCTACATTCGAAGAATATCTACACGTCACTGTATACATGTATCTATAAACTAGAGTCCGCTATGTGTCTTTATGTGTAAGGATTTTTATGAAGTTATCAATTTTGGTTGTTTGAA